TTCCTCCCCTTTTTGAAGATGGGAACCACATTGGCCCTCTTCCAGTCCTCTGGCATCACACCAGAGCACCACGAGTGCTTGTAAAGCTGTGCCAGGGGTCCTGCAATGACCTCTGCTAATTCCCTCAGCACTCTGCAATGGAGATTGTCTGGACCAGCTGATTTAAATATGTCCAGTCCCTCCAGAAGTTCCCTGACTAGATCCTCACTGATCCTTAGCCGGGGTGCGCCTCCTCTGGGGCCTGAGGGGGTGCTGGTGGGGGAGCTGATCCAGTCCCTGCTCAGGAAAATGGAGGCGAGGAAGTCATTAAATAGGTTAGCTTTGTTGTCTGGTGTGACAACCAGATTTCCTAGCATGTCTTGCAGGGGCCCCACGTTACCCGGTACCTTCTTTTTTCCCCCTATGTATTTAAAAAAGGACTCCTTGTTTTCCTTGATCCAGGTAGCTAGTCCCAGTTCCATCTCTGCTTTGGCCTTCCTGACCGACCCTTTGCAGCCCCGAGCAAGCGAGGTATAGTCCTCCCTGGTGATGGCCCTTCCCTTCCATTGGGTGTATGCCTCCCTTTTAGCTAGGAGACGTTCCCGGATGGTTTTGGTTAGCCATGGGGGATTTTGCACCCTCCTGCCCCCTTTGATCTGTGTTGAGATTACCTCCCTTTGGCCTTGGAGGATCGTCTCCTTAAGGAGCGACCACTCTTCTTGGACACCCGACTCCCCTCCCCTCTGGGACCTCAGTGCCTCCCCGACTATTCTCCTTAGCTCACTGAAGTCCGCCCTCCTGAAATCTAGGGCTGCTGCCTTGCTGCACGCCTTTGCCATCTTGTGCTGGATGGTGAATTCCAGCAGATGATGACCGCTGTCGCCCAGGTGGTCAAGCACCCGCAGCCCCCTTACCATGTCGTCGCCCGTGGCCAGCACCAGGTCCAACAGGGCATTTCCCCTGGTGGGGCTGTGCACCTCCTGGGTTAGACGGAGGTCCTGCATTTTGGCAAGGAACTTACGTGAGTGGTCAGACCTGGCTGACTGCTCAACCCAGCAGATGTCTGGAAAGTTCAGGTCACCCATGATGACCACGTCTTTTGACCTAACTACCTATTTCAATAGTTTTTTTGGTAAAGAATCATGTTAGTACGTGTTTGTGTTCAGTAGCTGTAAGCATTCAACATATAAATATTTTATGAATTTACTTGGTCAGATTTGTTCTCCAGAACCTGCTACTGCGAATGACTACCGAGAATGACCACCATCACCTGACCTAGAAACTTACAAAGCGAACAGAAGTCATAGTATTTTTGCTAATTAACCTGATAGGATTTCTTTGTAGACCCAAATCAATATACTGAAATTATAGATTTTTCACCCTACAATTTGGAAGTCAGATCCCTAAAGGGACCTCTAACTAATACTTCATTGCTTTGTTTTTTGATAGAATTGGGTGGCAAGGCTCCTCCAGATCAGCCATATAAAAAATTCAGTTCTGCCAACCCCAATTATTTAAAAACATGAAAAGATATAATCATGCCTTTGGTCTGCCATCTTCTTTTGGAACTCTTCCTGCCTGCAACTATGACAAAATAGCATTACCGATGCTTGCAAATTTACTACAAATACTGAGATTTTGCATGCCCCCTCCCCTGGCAGCAGTGCTAACTAGAGAATTCAGACAGGCCTGGCAGTAAGCACTATATAAGAATAAGAGACTGTTTCTTCCCCAAAGAGCTTTACTGAAAGGTATGGAAATATGTTTGTAGTGTGAGGATTGAAGCAACACATACCATATATCTTCTGTAGAAACCACCAAAATCTTTATTAAGAGGAAAGCAATTTTTAACCTCTCCTGAACTGGGCTACAATCAAACTGGTTTAAATGAAAGGTTCTACAGCTTTCTAGTTGTGTCCTCAGTCCCTAACAGATACTAATGTTGAACCTCCGAGAATTGGGCTTCCTTTCTAGAAAGATAAATTGATTTAATAATATTCAAATTCTGACCTTTTTGGAGTTTCTATAGGTAGGATTTCCCAATATCTGGATACAGGCAAAATCCCCTAAACACACTAGAAATCTCAGACATGCTACGGCAAAATATCGTGCCATCTTTAAAAGGATCATACCGATTAATTAAAAAAAAAAAAAACCCTTAAAATGCAAAAACAAAACAAATATTAATCCAGCCACCAAATGTATTCACATCTGCAATTTCAAGATTGACTCAGTAGTGCATACTGGGTTTTACAAGGAATCTTCAAGATGTGAGAAAACTGAAAACTAGCCACATTATGGAGACTATATGCAGAGCTGTCTTCTGGTGTAAGGGCTGGCAGACTGGAAGACCTGAATGCATTAAGTCAGACTTCATTCTTCTTCCTCTGAAGTCTACTGAGTCTTAGAGACATGCATATTTTTAACTTTGCACTTTCACCATGCTTTTGGTTAATTAAAGTTAGCTTATTTGCTCTCAAGAGCCTATCAAAAGTGCTCCTGACCTTGCCCAATGCAGATAGAGCAGGTGGCATTCTCACCTGCTAGGTCACTTTGCAATCCTTCTGACACCAGTTGGTTCGGTAGAATGGTATTTAAATCAGACCACTCATATGGTGGTACAGGACCAGGCAACTTCTGAACAACTGAGGGCCACATGTTTCTGGAGCATGCTATAACCCATGCAGCTGGAGAAGGGAGCAGAAGCCTGGAGACCATGGAGGTAGCAACAGAGGACCAGTGGGGGAAGCAGCACCTACACCAGATACCTGGAAGCTGCAAACCCTTCATGGACTGCATGCATCTGCAGACCGCTAACTGGACAGCAGCCCTGTGCTAGCCCACTCATCTACCATTTTTGGTGTAATGATTTTACTTTTCACATTGACTGCATTCCATATTTCTAGTTATAGTTAATATGATTATACAAATTGTTTCAGGCTGCTGCTTTGAGTGCAGGGGACTTACTGCACTGATACCTGCAATTTTTCAACATTCCTTACCCAGCTGAAAAATAGATCCATATTTACAGCTGTCTTCAAGGAAAATGGGTCTTCTTCTCTGACCAAATTAATGCACTGAGGTTAAGATTATGAGGTCAGCAGGTGAAAACAGAAAATGGAAAAAAGAACAGCTCTGAGAGGAGGCTCTCTCTATTCACACACTTACATGGAAGAATCACTGACAGAAATGTTACATATATGTGCATGCATTAATAATTATTCTTATACATAAATCAGCCATTCACACTGGATATATTTATATACTCTTAAACAAAGTTCCACTTTTGCACTTGCAGCTTTTGAGCTCATGGACTAAAAACAGATGTTGGGTTTATCCAGGGTCTGAACACTCCAGACACAGAAGTCCTCTACAAATGCAGCTTGAATGGCAATTAATCTGATTTAGCCCTGATTGTCCTCAGGAAAAAGTGTTATCTTGGTACTTCCCAGGTACTTAACTTAGGGGCAACAGGCTTGTATGTCTGTAAGATGCCAAAATAAAAAGCCTTGTCCCAAGATAAATCCGATGCCTGTTTTTAGCCATGGAAAGTATCATATTGTCCCTTACGGAAAGTGAAATCCTCTGAATAAGACACGTTCAATACAGACAATGGCAATACAATCTTTTGAAATATCTGGTTAAATCCAACCTGGAGGGGTACAGTGTTACCTACCCTCTCTGACAAACTACCAAGCTCATTTTACTCATAGCACAAGAATCACTATCAGATGGTCACTCCCAAGCAGGATTAGACATGAATTTATTTAAAGTACTAAAGACTCTGTATTCCGTTACCAGACTACTGAAACACCCAGTCTCCCACTATTTTTGTGTTGTTCTAAAAATCACATTAAGATTACAAAATTACTTTTCCAAAGTTTAACTCACCTCTGGTCCCCCCTCAATGTCTGAGGACAGGCTACTTTCATATTTTGCTACAGCAACTACAAGGCCAGTTAAAGCTAAGAGAGAGTTTCCTTTCACCACGGGGCTCTCCCTATTGGAATAAGCAAACAGTAATAAAAAGGCATGAAAGAGGTCCAGACAATAAAATACATAGTGAGAATCAGGGAAACACATGCTAAAGGTGATCTGTATTAGCAGAGACCTTACTGAGATCCAAAAATCTAACAACTTTCCCAAATTGTTTGCTGGCTCTGCAGAAGCATTCCATATTTGGTCTTCACATAAGTCAGAGATGGATAAAAACTAAGCTTTGACTCTCTCTAGTTTTCATTTTCCTATTTCTTGATCTCTTCTAATACTACTGCAATATGGATCTCCTTCTCTAAGCCCTGCCAACTCGTGAAAGACATATAGCTTCTAGACCTAGGTACAATGATTTCTTGAAGATTATTAACCACCTCCATCCAGAGTCTTTTCTACAACCCCTGCTCAAGGCAGGATCAATTATAAGCACTATAGGGCATCTTTACATGTGCTCTGGAGGTGGATGGGGGGGGTGGGGAGAAGGTGCTTTAATTACAGTGGCTCCAAGAACCTTCAATGAGCTTTAGTTAAGGTGCCCCAGCTGTCATTTTAAACACTTCCTTCTGTCTCCAGCAATTTCTTTTTGCATCTGAAAATAGTTTTTTGGAGAAGACAAACATGTCTCAATGGAATGTTGCTGACCTTTCATGTCTGGGACACTGAATCCAGACTCCTCTAGATAAGAGATAGCTAAAAATAATTACAAGTAGGCAATAGGTCATTTCTTAGAGGAGCCTCACATTGCCTTAAAATCACTTTCTCACCTATTTATTTTGACATTTAGGTTGGTATCTAGTGTCACTTATAGTGGTTGCACGCCATGATAGGTCTCAGATTGTCAAAAACTTTTATACTGTACCTATGACAACCAAAAACTTTACAACTGAAAGATGTGGATGGATTTGAAACAGTCCAGCAGAGAACAACAAAAATGATTAGAAGTCTGGGAAGCAAGACTTATGAGGAAAGGCTGAAAGAACTAGGGTTATGAAGCCTGGAGAAGAGAACACTGAGAAGGGATTTAATAATAATCTTCAAATATCTGAAGGGCAATTATGGGCTTTTTTCTGTTGCTGAAGGGGACAGGACTAGCTGCAACAGACTCAAGCTGCAGCAGGGGAAATTTAGGTTGGAGATTAGGAGGATCTTTCTGACTATGGTTAAGTGTTGGAAAAGAAATTGTAGAATCTCCAACCCTGGAAATTTTCAAGAGCAGGTTTGACCAGTAGCGTAACTTGGGGTGGGCAAGCAGGAAACCAGCCACCGGTGCAAACATTACAGAGGCACCAGAACTGAACTGCAACTCCCATGGAGTCTGCCCCAGTAGCAGTAGTCCCATGAAGTTGTTTTTGCAGCAGCAGGTGGGTACACAGACACCACACTGTTGCTGTAGGAGCAACAGCTGGGGCAGGCCGTGCCCACTGCAGTTGCAATGGAAGCAACACTGACAGCAGCAGCAGTCAGGGTTTGTTTTCTGGGTCCCCAGCATACATAAGACTTCTGAACCCTCTGTCTGCCCAGCATTGAGCAGCACTTCCTGCTCCACTCTCCCACAGGGTTTCCCCTGGGTCACAAATCCTGCTTACTGTGCCTCTGGGTTGGACAGACACTTGGCTGGGATGATTTAGTCAGAAATGATCCTCTTTGAGCAGAAGGGTGGACAGGATGATGATCATGCAGGGTCCTTTCCAGCCCTACTTTCCTATGATCCTATGATTTGCAAAAGCATAACCCTTCCAGCAAAAAGATCACCACCACTGACACACAAGCCATCTTGATGCTATGTTGAAAAAGAATATTTCTCATTTCTTATTATTCAAAATGAAAAATACTGCAGAGTGAAACAAACAAATATGTTCTTGTTTCTGCACTGAATTTGGCATAGACAAGGGTTGGGAAGTATGACTTGCCAACAGATAATACTCTTGTTACTAGCTGGGAAAAGTTCAACCCTAGGAACCAATAATGAAATGTTACCAACTGAAATAGTTTGACAACTGAATGGATTTTATTAGTAAAACCTTGGCTCCCAATCTGAGAGAAAGGATTCAATATTTTCTGGAGTTTATGACATCCATATATTTTATTTGGCTTTACACTAAATTATGGATCCAATTTTTCATAGGTATTTAATAAATAAAGGCCACTTCAGTTCAGTTCTCTTCCTCTCCTCCACCTCAGACCCGAGAATTTTCAAAAGTGCTTTTATCCAGATTTGCTACTTTTGACACCTCTATTTGGTCCAGCATAAGGAGTCGCTTTCAGGATTCCACAACCATAACAAAGTGATATCTGTTGGAGGAGGAATGCAGGGGTGACATCAAGCAGCTAGCAAGCATCCCTAAAGTTTTTCAGCAGTTTCTGAGGGTGGGGTCAGGATGTTTGCATCTGCCCTGAAAGCCACAGACTAAGTTCAGTGATAGATGAACAAACAAGTAAAAGTCTGAAAACATCTTTTTTCTGTCTTCACAAGGGGAACAGATATGGACACATGGAGGAAGCTTCAAGCATGAAAGATAGATAATGGGCCAGCTGTGATGAGGTCATGCTCCATACCAGAGACAGCTGAGTAACTGTTAAAACAAATGAGTTAAAAACAAAAAAGGGGGGAGGGAAGGAGTTATATAACAGACTGGATCAAAAGAGCAGAGCTGTATTCCACCTTTAAATCAGACTATATATAATGCACCTGGACAACTGTAAAATGCCGATTTTGAAGAAAAAGCACCCTTCCTTACATTTAAGCAGTAATCAGGCAAAAGCATGAATTATATGGGACATTATTAATGGAAAATACTGGCTTACATCATGCTTCCCTTCTTACTGGCTGCCCCTCCCCATAACCTCCAAATACATGAGTAAATCTTACTTTGAAGCACCCTTGACAACATCAGTCAGCATGTCTCTGACCCTGCAATACAAACAAGAGTTAGCACAATATATATAGCATGGCAGCCAGGACTTTCTGCCTGTAGTCCTTCCCTCCAAATGTCCTTCCATTCTCAGTCACTGACTATCACAACCCAGTAGCCATTTCAGAAGACTTAAGAGCAAATACATCACAGATATAAAATGGTAAATAAATATTTACCAAATATGTACATATCCTCTATCATTTTATGTTTTCATATCCTTGGACCAACTGAAATAATTTTCTAAAAGGGCTTTTCATCATATTTTATTCTTTTCTTGTAAAAATTCAAGTTCATGCAGCAGCCATAAATCTGTTCATCTAGCTGTTACAGATAGCTTTCCAAATCAATGTGTTATGTCTTAGCCTAATAAAATGAAAATGTTCTACAATGAATATCTATAACAATTTATCCCACATTTTTTATACTTCAGAACATAACTATGCGTGGTTAAGCTATTAGGTGGCACTATGGCCTCAATTTATTGAAATGAAAGCTATAAGGGCACTTAGAATTCCTTCTATGTTACTGTAATCAATTTACAATACATGACTTGGCTGTATTTGTTTAGTTTTGCATTCATTTCCAGACAGAGCCTGGGCTGCAGCAAATCTTTTATACTGCCAAGCTTGTTTTTTTTAAAATAAACATATATACCATGCACTCCAGAATTTACAATATGAAACAGTAAATCTTAACTATGACTGTCAATCCATGCAGAAAGATATCTACCTTTCAATCACATAATAATACTTCAAAAAAAATCAAATCAGTTCTTCATTCTTAAGCACAATATTTATTTCTGAATACTGTCATTAGAAAACTCACCTAAGTTGAAATCTTTTACGTGAACATTATATAGAAATGATGCAAACCTCCCTCCCCTCAACAAACAGTAAAAATCTTCTATTATCTTGTTCATGTTGGAACAAAGTCAGGGCCAGACTGGGAAGTAGGAAATGCTAATAAAGGCCTAGTAGGTCCCTCTGTGTGAAGCCATCCTCTGACCTTGTTCTAAAGTCAAAAGAGTTCGAGGTTATTCAGCACCTTGCTTGGACTGGGCTCAAAGAACAGCCTGGGGAGACACTTAATATGCTTCCATTGAGCCATCAAGTTCATCTACCAACCTGGCTTTTAAATATGCACATGTACAAAATGAATTTTCAATTGTTCATGTTAGTGCAGTTTAGGATAACATGAGTGAGGAATTATGCTAGAAATAAGGGGCTAAGGCAGATTCTGTACCCCTGTGAAAGCTAAAGCTTTTCTTTTCGTACCATAAGTTATAAAATATGTCGCCTGCAGGCTGGATCTGGCCCATGGAGCTGACTGATTTGGCCCACAGCATTCCTGGAGGTGCCTGGATTTCTGTAGTGGTGTGGGTAGCAGTGGCATTAATCTCCATGGTTGTCTAACCCACTTTGCTGACTCAGGGAGCTGCACAGATTGACGCCATTATCATTCATTTTGCCACCAAAATCCAAGATATGGATCCCCACTGGAGACTTATTTTTTTTGGCAGTAGCTGAATGAGCAATGGTGGTATTAACCTATGCAGCCCCTATTAATGTTACTGCTGCTTGCCCCAGTGCTACAGGTGGGTCCAGATCTGGCTCATGACAAACCCTGATATGGCCCATGACAAGCCCGGATCTGGCCCACAAAGCTAAAGATAGAAGCAGGTTGGAGATGGACCTGTTCTCCAGTCTGTTCTATTGGATCTAGTTACTTTGCATCTTGTTAAATAACCCCTGGCTCAGCCTTAGTTAAATAAGACAGAGATACAAATTACATGTTCCCTACTGACCATAACTTTATACCTTCTCATTGCAAGAACTATTTTTATTTTGGATATTGTTGGTGTGCATAGAGAGATACCTTTGTAACATAATAGATGTATAAGCCCTGGTATGGTACCAAGTCATTCATTAAAGTTGGCATCATTTCCATCCAAAGTTTGGACAAACTAGATGTAAACCTCCAGCTACGGTCATAAGCTTTCAGGCATTGCAAAGGGATAGCTACTGTGTATCCCAGCAACCTTACCCAAAACTCCCGTTTTTTCTTTTCCCCCCTGCAAGCTAGAGATCATATCTGTTTTTCTTCCATTAGCGCTCATACAGACAGCTAAACCTGTAACATTAAATTCTTTGAAGTATTCCCCCACTCCTTTGCCAGCTTCGCTCATCATTACAAATGAAGAGGAGCAGACAGTCATTCCCTTACCAGAGCCAGGCTGTAAATTGTTTGTACTGCACCTCTTCAGGATCCTCTTTTCCATGTTTTAACTGCATCTCCAGCTCTGCCTGTCTCCCCTGCCAAAGCACAGCATAAATCAGAAGGAGATCTTACAACGGTAATAATCATTAGATTTCTGTGGGGCATCCTTGTGTAACAGATGTAACCCTTCCCTTGTGGGCCACTTCATGACTGGACCCAATTGTTCTTGATATAATACCGCACTATAATATATAATATATTAAGCAAAATCATTGTAATTTTTTTATTCTGAACAATGGGAGTGGCAGCTGCAGATGCAGCTAAATGGTTAGAGCTACTTAGGGTATGGACAAATGTAGTATTTGAAGTTCACCAAGTGCCTGTAAAGTGCTTCAAAAAGTGAGGATACAGAAGCATGCAGCCAATGAAGCACTTCAAATAGAGCTGTTCTGCCTTAGAAATGACCCCAGGAAAAATAAAGGGAACAACTTCCGACCTCTTCATGCTTCATTTGCACCTTTAAAAAGTCCTTCTTAAATCATGGAAAGGCTCAAAAAGGACAGCATAGGAAAGCAGCTTTGAAATCCAACTGCCTCCAAGGTCACATGACAGCAACAACTATCATTTACTTAATATATCATTTTAACCAGAATTTCACATTCTTTTTACTTGAAATGACTCCATTCTCCTTGCAATCCTTCATGACAGTTGTAGCTGTACTTCAAAGGATTCACTACAAGATTCACTACAATGGTTTATAGCAGCGTTCCCCAACCAGTGTGCTGCAGCACTTTGGGCTGGATCCATGCCTCCCGCCCCCACCTGCTGCTGCTGCTGTGGGCAACCAGACAGGTGAGGGTTGTGGCTTCAGCCAGTGATTCAAACGCCATGCCACCTGCTTCCCACCACACGCTACCCCCTACTCCCAGTCTGTGGCATTCAGCTGCTTGCCACCTGATCCCTCCCCTCTCTCCCCCACCGTGCTCTGCAGCGTTTTGCTGCTCACCTTCCCACCCCCCACTCCGGTCTGCAGTGTTTGGCCGCTCGCCACACCGGTCGTCCCCTGTTCAGTCGGTGTGCCATGGGGTGGGGGAGGCCATATAAGTGTGCTGCAGGTTGAATAAGGTGGGGAAATGCTGGTTTATAGGGTGCTTCTGGTATCTGATGAGGACTGATTTGAAGGTGTTAGGCAAATCTCCAGAGTAGGAGATTGGGTAAGGGTGGGCAGGTTTAGTTTTAAGACCTAAAGCAACTATTGGTCATCAGAACTGGGTTGAGAAATTTTTCCAGCAAGGCTCTTAAAAACAGCAGATCATAAGTATCTTTTTTCAAACATTCAGCACTGTTAGGAATTAGTTTTTGTGAAAATTTGAGAGTACAGTGTAAATCCTGATGTCATTCACAAAATCTGAACCTCTCATCTACTATTAAGCAAAGAGGAAGTTTGTTCCCCTGAGGACTGGGAGTCAGCACTCCTCTTTTCTCAACTTGACTACTCTCACAAAGGCCTGGATTCAGCAACGTGTTCAAGCACATCCTTAACTTTAAGCATGTGTTTGAGTCCATTCCAATTCCCCAATGCACATTAAATCTAGATCTGTCTCATTTTAGTCAGGTAGGTTTGATCCTGAAAACTAAGCATGCTTCCCCCAACTCTGTAAACTGCTCGATCTTGCCAGAGGTTCACTGAAAGCAACAAGAGCCTTTTTTGTTTGCAGCAAGTCAGGGGTTTAAAACTCATCTGGCCTGACAAGCTAGAAGAGTCTTGTCCCTGGGCTGGACCAGGCCCATGGAGCCGTTTCCCCTCCCACTTGCGTAGCACAGGTCCCAAACCACCTGCAGCAGCTGCCAGATCAGGTATGCTAGGGAAGGGAGAGCAGAAGGGAAGGAGATCCATGAGCTGGATCTGGCCTCTAGACTAGCCCTGTGCTGCAGGTGTATACCATGCCCCATGAGGTTCTGATCTGGATTTGGCCCACAGGCCATATGTTTGACACCCCTGCTGTTAGCACATAAGTGTTTTGGCAAATTGGAATGGGGAAAACAAAGTGATCCTCAGGAGGTAGCAGGATTAAGTCTTTAAGCTCTTTTAGTCTTTGTGCCCAGTTAGTAAACGGGGATATTACTACTTACCTACTCCCCAGGGATACATTAGCGATGTGAACTAATTAATTTATACTTATAAAGCTTTTTGACAGCTGCAGATGAACAGGGCTATAGAAGCCTGAAATGTAATCATAATAATAATAGATCTTTTAAACATAAAGTATGCCTATACAGAAGCGAACTTCAAAGTCACAATGGTAAGCTCCAACAATCCAGTAAACTCTAGAGGATTTCAGAAGCCAGATGTGTAAAAGCTGTGCCTCTTATGAAAGAGCCAGAAGCATGAAAGAAGAGAGTAACAAAGCACAAGCACCAACTGACACTCTCTGAAGTTCAGACCTTAAATAGTTAAAAAACCCTACTTTTAAAATAACAAGCATTTAAATCTGACATTC